GCGACGAGGTTTCAAGGTCAAGATGCCCTTCATCAGCCACCATCATGGGCATTGTGGTACAGGAGGAGCGTGAGAGTTCGTCATCGAGACGGTAAAGATAGGGACGCGTGCGAGAGAGCCCCTCCGAGATTGTGGGGGAGAGAGTCAGAGCGCGGGACAACGATGGACCTACCGAGAGAGAGAGAGTGAACGAATAAATAAAAGAAAATAAATAATTACTACTAGCATCATGCTAGTAGACATTTGTGCAACACGCTACTTACAGGCTGTCGCGGTGACAAAGGGTTCGAAGGGGTAGTCGGGGGTCCACTCCGAGAGGACAGAGGTCGCAAGAATTGAGGCTGCGACCTGTGGTAGGGAGGAGGAACGTCGAAGTTGGCAGTCCAAATAGGAGGCTGGCCAATCCTGAAACATTGTGAGCTGAGACTGGGAAAAACTGGCACGATGCAGCTTCAAATTTCGGAGGGGAGAGAAAGGAAGGCGTGCAGTGAGGGTGGTGGAGACAGCAGAGTGGATTTGTAGCTTTTTCCTTTCCGCCAGACCCTTCAGAATGGCCGCCTGCGAAGAAAGTGCCTTCAAGGGGACCGAGGACTAAAGGAACGAGAAGAAGATGAAGAGAACAAAAAAGAGAAAATCCGAGGGTTAGTACGACTGAGCGGCAATGCCAGCGTTGCCTAAAGAAACCTGTCAACTTATAGAAAAGAGCGCATGATGAACCATGAGTGGGGTTTCACGGGTAAAGGCAACAAATGGTTATCTGAAAGAATAAATACGAGAGTGACATTGAGTGCACAATCCACCAGTCGGTAACTCTTCACAAACAGACCCTAGACGTACTACGAAGTCTGAATTTAATGGCCAGTCGGCAGGGTTCTAGGTCACGGCTTTTGGCGCCACATAAAACCCATCTTTTTGCAACCCAGCACGCATCAGGTTGTCGTACCACAGGGTACGCGGAAGTGAAGTACATACGGAGTAAAAACGCCTAACCTTCGCAAACGTCAAGTCCCTTAGCATGCGCACCCTTGTATCTGTTCAGTGTCAGTTTATTGAGGGAAAGATAGCCGAACGCTTTTAAACTCCCTATTGGTAGCAAGATAGTAGGAAATATATGGATACGAAGAAAAATTTATAAAATGCGCCAATTACAGTAGCCGTCGAAGACCATGCAACGGTAATTATGAAATTTGGCTAGAC